ACAAAGTTGGACATGTGGAGAAGTATTGTCGTAAGAAAAATAATAACATCAAACAAACTTTGTTGAAGAGAAAGATGGTGAGCAACATCTTTTCTATGCTACCCAAGATTCAAATAGTGAAACAGGTGGAAGTTGGTACTTGGATAGCAACTGTAGCAATCATATGGCCAAAGATGCAAGCATCTTCAAGGATATTGAGGAATCCGTCAAAGTGAAAGTCCAAATCGGGAACGACACTTTCGTTGAATCAAAAGGCAAAGGCACAGTTATGGTGTAGACGAAGAAAGGTATGAGACTTATTACTGATGTTCTACTAGTTCCCAATCTCAAAGAAAATCTCTTGAGCATTGGCCAAATGATGGAGAAAGGTTATACTCTCCATTTCAAAGGAGACACATGTAAAATATATGACAATAAAAAGCTAGAGATTGGCTGAGTAAAAATGGAAAAGAGGAATAAAAGTTTCCTTATAAGCCTAAGACAAGGCCCTAACATTGCCATGAAAGCAGCAAGGGATGAGTCATGGCATTGGCATCGAAGATTTGGCCACTTTAATATGCATGCCTTAAAGTTATTATATCAAAAAAATATGATGAGAGATTTCCCATGCTTAAAGGAGAATAGTGAAACTTGTGAAGGATGTCTCCTTAGCAAGCAACATCGATTGTCATTTTCAATAGGCAAAGCATGGAGAGAAAAGGACTTGTTGGAGCTGATCCATACAAAATCAGAAAAGCAAAATCAGAAGTCACTAGTGGAAAAAAGGCTTTTAAAATCGGTTATTTTCAACTTTTAAAATCGGTTCCGTAACCCATTTTAAAAAAGTCAATTTTGAAAGTTAGACTTTTAAAATCGGTTAAATAACCAATTTTAAAAGTTAACTTTTAAGATCAGTTATTTTATAACCGATCTTAAAAGTCCGGGCTGCAAAAAAAAATTAATGTGGAACGGGCCATTCCAAAATCGGAACGGGCCGTTCCAGGTTTTTAAAATGAGTATGGGCCGTTCTCCCTAAAGAACGGCCCGTTCTAAAAGGAGAACGTCCTGTTCTAAAAGGAGAACGTCCCGTTTTGCTAGGAGAACTGGTCGTTCTCCCTACAGAATGGGCCTTTCTCCTTGCAGAATGGCCCGTTCCGATTTCGTAATTTGTCCAAGCTGAACCTACAACGAAAATAGAGACAAGAGAAAAGCATGAGAAAACGAAAAGAGACACAAGAAGAGCATGAGAAGATGAAAATGAAAACGAGAACGAAATTTACCTTATTGAAAACTTTATAAAATGAGAGCGCGAGAGAGTAAAAAAATGAATGGAAGGAAAGATTAAAGAGAATGAGAATGGAGGGAAATATAAAAGGTTTCTGACGAAATTTTTAAAATCGGTTATTTATGAACCGATTTTGTATACTACATACAAAATCGGTTCTGAAATAACTGATTTTAAAAGTATCACTTTTAAAATCGGTTCCTAAATAACCGATTTTAAAAGTAGCACTTTTAAGATCGGTTAAAATTTAACCGATCTTAAAAGTACTTTTAAGATTGGTTGTTTAAGAACCGATCTTAAAAGTGATGTCTGATACAACTTTTAAGATCGGTTCTTTTGTAACCGATCTTAAAAGTTATGTCAAACATACCTTTTAAGATCGGTTATTTTATAACCGATCTTAAAAGTACTTTTAAGATCAGTTAAATTTTAACTGATCTTAAAAGTGTTCATATTATTTACAAAATTGCTACCGCGTCACTTTTAAAACCGGTTACCTTATAACCGATCTTAAAACTCCGATTTTAAATCCAATTTTTGCACTAGTGAGTCTTTGGTATTTTCAAGAAGTTTAAGACCCTTGTCGAAAAGTAAAGTGGAAAACAAATAAAATTACTTAGAAGTGATTGTGGCAAAGAATACACTTCTCATGAGTTTGATAAATTCTATGAAGATGAAGGAATTGAGTGACAACTTACAATTGCATATTCCCCACAAAAAAAATGGAGTATCTGAAAGGAAAAACTGCACAAGAATGAAGATGGTCAGATTGATGCTCAAGGAGAAAGGGTTACCAAACACTTTTTGGGTTGAAGTTGTTTATACTACTGTCTACATACTTAATAGATGCCCAACTAAGGTAGTCCAAGATAAGACTCCGATTGAAGCCTGGAGCGAGAAAAAAACATCAACAAATTAGCACCTAAGGGTATTTAGATATATTTTCTACATACACGTTCCAGAAGAGAAAAGGCACAAGCTAAAAGACAAGACAGTACAAGGTATCTTCCTTGGATTAACACATAGTCCAAAAGCTACCGAGTCTACAACTTGCAAACCAAGAAGCTGACTACTAGCCAAGATGTTGAAGTTGATGAAACCAATATAAGAAAAAAAACATTATTTTTAAAAATATCACCGGATTAACTATTACATCGTTGCAATTGATGTAATATATAGTATGACATTATATCCTATTTCTACACATGCTAACAATTTTATTTTTTAATTCTCTTCTAACTTATATATTATCCACTCAACTCATCTTCAATTAATGTGAGAATTGATCTTTAATTAAATTTTCCACGCTAGGTTCGGTGGCCATTGGACATTGGCGGACGGCGACATATATATTATATAAGACAATATTTAGTTTAAACACAAATACACCTATAATATAGATACATCTCCTATTTTTTTCCCAATCATATAAATCCATGACTTAGACTTACGTACGGTTCATGTTTTATTTGGGCTTCCACGAGAATGCCACGTTTCCAAAGTGGTTGAAGACTTGTTTTTGATTCATTATTGCAATTTTGTAGAGATATTATTTGGCTCCACTGGGAATTCGTTTACAAACGTGTGATTCCTAGTACCGTTATATACCTGACACATCATTATCTTCCTATGGTTTATTTGGCATATTAATTATTTTGAGTGGTGCACAATCCAACGATGAAGAATTATTTTGTTCTAGGCTTCTAGCTACTACATAGTTTCGTTTAGTTTTATTGGGATATTTAATTTTAAAAAATGTTAATGTCAAATCTTACACTCTCGAGTGTGCTATATCGTTCTTGTACAATGGAAACTTAATTAATGGCGGGAGCAATCAAGCCTCTCCCATGATTGTGTATTTGAAAGGGATTGCAAGACGATTATGGATCTCTTGTTTTGGCTCCGGGCATTATGTTGGAAGATATATATCAATGATTGGTGTCATCCTTTTAACGTGATTAATGATTTACTGAAAATGTTGATATCACATTTATATAATAACTCATATACATAATTATTTACCCGTAAATTCTGACACAATTGATAAATAATATTATATGCATGTGTCAAAAATTGTTTGTTGACAAATGTCAATTTTTAAATAAATTTTGATAATTTGAAAAAATTAGTAATTTGTTTTTTATTAGAGAATGTTTTGATTTGCCAAAAAGAAATATACATTACCATTTAATAAAAAAAATTACTATATGTAATAAGTGTATTGACTTTTTATATTAATCACCTATAAGTTGATTTTAGTATAAATTATTTTACATTCATGTTATATAAAAATTAAACTCTTATATTATATTTCTCTCTTTTCTCTTGTTTATGTAAATTGTTATATGTATGGACATGACTTTTCTTTAATGAGTTTAATTTTTAATTCAGAAATTTCTTGATCTTTTCTTCTTGGTTCATGAAACATTAATTTTTTTTTATCTGCGAATACTTTCGATGAAATAAACTTAATTATTAATAGAATTTATTTATTTTGAAAAAGTCACACAGAACTTAAAAAGTAATTGAAAAGTGAAATGTGTAAAAAAATATTGTCAACGTGTTGACATATCACGTTTTTCTGGAATTAGATATATAAAAAAAAATGAAGAAAAAATAAAAAACGAAAACGGAGGGAAAAGATTAGGCGGTTGAGATGCGTTTAATGAGTTGCTTAATCTGCACGGCAAATGCTAATCCTTGAGTCTTGACCACTCAAATCATCTCCCCAATTATTGTACAATGTCAATATTTGGCTCTAAATGCAATTCACTAAAATAAATAAAATATGGGTTACCATCACGGAGACCTTCCAGTAAACTCCAACAAAATTTCCATGTAATGCAGCAACACCAAACACACACAATGTTAAATAATTAACCATTCTTGTCATTGTCGTATCAAGATTCAAGAACCAATCTTCTACCCTCAGATCCCCCCCCCC